TTGGTCGGAAAGATCAGAACCGAATGGACTATGACCCAAATCAATCCAGTGTGAATTGTCTGATGACTCGACCTCACCAAAGATCCCCTGCTGCCAAACCCTTTTGTCCCTCTTCGGAATCTCCCTCCGTTTCGGTCCGATGCAGATGGGTAGTCGTCGGCAGCTCTCCGGCGAAGATAGCGGAGTCAACGATGGAGACCGTACATTGACATCCCCAAACGGCGTCGTATAACGCGTGACTGAGGGCTCCGGCAGTTTGGGCTCTTCTGATCTTCTGTTGGGACTCAAAATCACCGGAGGCGAGAGACTGATAGAGTGTGATCGAGGCGGTGAACCCAATTCGGAAGACGAGCAAGAACACGAGGTGGTTTCGCTGCTTCTTCGGTCAAATACGCCCCCGCCACAGGTCCCTCGACCACCATCGTTCCGCCACTTGCTCGCATCGACGAGTGCAGCGTCGTCACCGACGAGACCAGAAAGGTCTTCAAAAGCTTCTACTCCAACGATGATGACAAGATCTCCGTCAAAATCCGAGTCCCGACCTCCCCAAAGCCGAGCAATTTCGATGATGCGGTCTCCACTTCTTTGCCGCAACATCCTCAACAGCACCAGGACCTCCATCGCTGTCCTTGCCCTTCAATGGAAGCTCGGGCAGCCCCTCCTCCTTTGTCATCTCTCGAGCTCGGCCTGGGTTTTCACCCACAAACCCAGGCTTGCATAGCATCGTATATAAAGAAAAAAAAAATTTTAAAAAATAATAAAATAATAAAATAAAAAAATAAAAAAATAATATATATATATATATATATATATATATATATATATATATAGGAATTGCTTAAGGGGAGGGATCCCCATTTTTTCAAAAAAATGGGGACACGCTCCCCACCGTTGGATTTGACTTAAATGAAATCCTGTGGTTGAGATTCTATGGCCTGTGTTTTAATCTCAACCACACAATTTCATTAAAGTCAATCTAACGGTGGGGAGCGTGTCCCCATTTTTTTTGAAAAAATGGGGATCCCTCCCCTTAAGCTCCCTGTATATATATATATATATATATCATGGTGAGTATAAGGGCCATCATTTCATTAGTGATGGTGGGTGTGAGCACTACCGAAAGCAGAAAAGAAGAAATATATATATATATATAAAATATATATAAAAAAAAAAAATTATCTCTGGTGCGTCTGGCACCATGATTAAAGAAAAAAATGTTTGATGGATGGTGCATTTGGCACCATGTGTAAAAAAAAAAAAAAAAAAAAAAAAAATTGAGAAGTCCATTTTATTTATTTAAATTTGCATGATACATACGTTAAAAAAAAAAAATCAAATCAAATCAAATCAAATTTACAAGAAGGGATCTTCAAGGACGATTAAGTGGCACCTCACCACTCGGCAGAGCTCTAGGAAGAAGAGGCGCCGGAGGTTGACTGTTTGAAGCCTCATCACTCGGCGGGACCTTAGGAGGAGGAGGCACGGAAGGTTGATCATTTGAGGTTTCATTACGCGGTACAGCCCCAGAAGACGAAGGCAAATGCTGCTGGAACAAACCCACAAACCTCCGATGATCAAGTAAAATCTGACCATCAGATTCCTGCATCTGGTCAATCTTCCTCTTCATGTTTGTCGCATAGCTATGTGCGAGCTTATGCAACTGTTTATTCTCCTGCTTGAGCCCTCTAATCTCCTGTTTGAGACTCGTCACTTCAGCCGCCAATGATTCAACTTGACGGGTTCGAGCAAATAGGCGTTGGGCCATATTAGACACAGAACCTGCACACTGCACACTGAGAGCCAGAGAATCCTTAACAGCCAACTCATCAGACCGTTTGGAAAGTAGTCTGTTATCTCTGGGAGTGACAAGGTTTCGGGCCACCACCGCAGCGGTCATATCATTCTTCACCACCGAATCCCCAACGGTAAGAGGACCAGTAGGGGATATGAAGGATGGGCGCCATATGTTGTCTGGAGAAGGTGGGACTACCTCTTCATCAAGGTTCAAATCAAAACGACGATCGGAGGGTCCAGACATTTTCAAAGGTGTTGAAGAAAGAAGAGGTCGGACAAATCAAGACCTTAGAAATGCAAGAAGGGAGTTTCTACAAGCGAAAATTCAAGTGTGCTTTGAAACGAACAGCGTGCCTCTATAAAAAATCAGCACTCGACGGGATTTCAGAGATCGAAGAGGCGAGCTCAGAATTCGAAAGAGGCCATTCAAAGATCGAAGAGGCAAGCTCAGAAATCGGAGAAGCATCTTGCTTTTCCAGATGCGTCGGCACCTGTCACGCGCAAACTCATCTTTGCGAAAATCACGGGCAATTTGTCGAAGCGCCGATCCCAGATATCGAAGAGGCGCCAGTCTTTTTCAGCCACGTCAGCACCCATCACACGCAAACTCGGCTTTGCGGAAATCACGGGTAATTTGTCGAAGTGCCGATCCCAGTTATCGAAGAGGCGCCAGTCTTTTTCAGCCGCGTCATCACCTGTCACATGCACACTCAGCTTGGCGGAAATTACGGACAATTTGTCGAAGATTTCTGATAAAGAAGAAAGCACGTGAAGCCATATAGATCAATCACGCATTGGTTGCCGACACGAGTGAAAGAATAGTACCTCTACAGGTATCAAAGAACTTCCTATAATGGTCTACCTTCGCCTTCCATAGCAAGGCAGACATACAGAGCATTTCTTCATCTCCAAAAAATGCTTTCCCAACGAAGCCTCTCGAGTCATTCAATGTTCCTTATTCCTTGGGGTACCTCTGCAAGCCAATGACTCCAAAGCAAAAGTATCTCATATCACCAGGGTAGAAAGCAAGAGTATCTCATATCATGCGTTCTCCCTGTCCTTTCCTTTGTCCTTGTTCTTACCTACAAAGACAAGGATAAAGAAAACAATATGCCGGAACTTCCACTCAAACTCGGGTAAGGAACCGACTGCTTGGAACCCTTCCCTGATTGCCTACCTAGCACTGCTCTCGAGTACTCGTTTCCCACTGCTGCTGTACTTCCAAAGAAGCTGCCACATCTGCCTGGAGAACAGATAAAGCAAGTGAAAACGATACCTTGCAGCATGTGGAGACAAGGTGCAGAAGGAGCAAGTAGAGAAGAATGCAGTCTGCACAGTCAACTCAGCAGAAGGAGTCCGAGCTGAAGAACTCAAAAAGCTGCCATATCTGCCTGAAGAAACAAGCAGAGAAGAATGCAACATGCTCAGTCAACTCGGCAGAAAGAGTCTGAGATGAAAAAAAAACTCGTTTTGACCCTCAAATTCTTGGGTCGACTTACTAGGCGTTGTGGGCTGCACGTGCCGATTCACCACCCTTGAATCGAATCCTTAAAGATCAAGTCACCAACTGGAAGAAAAGCCCATCAATCTTGAAGATCATACCGTTGACCAAACTGCTCAGGCGCGAATTTAGAAAGATTGAACAAAGCAACAAGTCGTCACCTTCACCTCGTGCCTGCTTGCCCTGTGTTCGAGTCAACCTTCAAGAATCAAGCCTCAACGGCCCTTGAAGAAGTTTCCAGCCAAATTCAAGATCAAGCCTCGACGGCCTTTGAGGAAATCGCAAGTCCGATTCAAGATTAAGTGTCTACCACCCTTGAATCAAAACCTAGTTCAAGAATAAGTTATGGAAAATCAACAATTGGAGGAATCCAGAAAATCCTCCAACCCAGTTCAAGATCAAAGCTGTGGAAAGTCAACAAGTGCAACAAAATACGTGCCGATTCATCCATTACCAAAGCCAATGATCATCTACCACATGAAGCTCCTTGTGGTCCAATTTCAACCTTCAAGATCAAGCCTCAACGGCCCTTGAAGAAATTTCAAACAAAAGTTCAAGAACGAGCCTCAACGGCCCTTGAAGAAATTTCAAACAAAAATTCAAGAACAAGCCTCAACGGCCCTTGAAGAAATCTCAAGCCCAATTCAAGATCAAGCCTCAACGGCCCTTGAAGAAATCTTCAGCCGAATTCAAGATCAAGCCTCGACGGCCCTTGGATCGACATCTACAGTAAGGGACTTCAAAACGCATCTCCTACACGTGACAAGCACATGTATACGACGTGCCTTGAAGTGGGGGCATTTGTAGACATCGAAATTTCGGTAAATAAATGTTGACCGATAAATCAAAGTGTCAACGCTCATGTATTACATAAATTTTACACGTAGCGTGTGACTCAACGAAAATTGAAATGAGTTGGAAAAGTCATCAAATAGGACACGTGTCAACACCTAGCAGAAACGACTTATTTCATCTGGGATATTATATTCAAAATTAGGCCTTGGAAAATTCTATAAATACAAGCCTATTTCATTCATTCAGGGAGGACCAATTCATATTACACCTTGAAGCTCTGAAGCTCTGAAACTCCGAAGCTCTCAAGCATCCAGGTTCCCGAAGAATCAAGAAAGCGTTCTTCGTTCATCGTTCATCCTAAGACCAAGTCCCAACGGCCCTTTGGATCAACAATCATCCACCAATTCAAGATCAAGCCCCGACAGCCCTTGAAGAAAGCACCATCGTTCATCATCCGTTCATCCAAGATCAAGCCCCAACGGCCCTTTGGATCAACAACGTCGACAAATCCACACATCCAACCGTTCTTCAAGATCAAGCCCAAAAGCCCTTGAATATCCGTTCATCACTGTTCTTCAAGACCAAGCCCAAAAGCCCTTGGAGATCCATTCGTCACTGTTATTCAAAGATCAAGCCCAAAAGCCCCTTTGAAGATCCGCTCAAATCCACCTTCAAAGATCAAGCCCACGGCCCCTTGAAGAAACTTCCAACAGTTCATCCAAGATCAAGCCTCGACGGCCCTTGGATCAAGGAAACATCCACAAATCAATACCTTACGGAGATCGAATCAGAGGATCAAAATAGAGAGAGATTGTAACCCAAAATCATCAAATACAAATATTTTGTTTGTGCACGTTGTTCTTGTCTCTTTCGTTTCAGGAATTTTCCGTGTTCACAGACATGACAGGTTATAATCCTACAATTTTCTATTCAAGTTTATGACTCAAACCAATACCACATTATAAAAACAGGGAAGAAGGGGTGGGGTTAAACCTGACAGGTGCTTCTCTCAGAGCGATAAGCATAGGTGAGGAGGGAGATTGGGAAATTAAAGAAGGGCAAACCTGTTTATGGTAACAGGCTTCACTTGGCCGATGCGATGACAATGATCTTCTGCCTGTCGATCAATTTGCAGGTTGAAATCCATATCATGAATAACTACGGTATCAGCTCTAACCAAGTTCAAACCCTGGCCTCCAACTCTTGTGGACAGCAAGCAAGCAAATATAGAAGTGTCATTATTGAATGTATCAACCATCGTCTGCTCTTGTGGCCTCTAGCTCTTGCTGACATTCGGAAGATACGGGTTAACAGACAAGAAACACAACTTACAACATATGAGGTAACAATTCAATTAACCACAATCAACAAGTGGAACTGAGCAAGCCAGATTATAAAACAGATATACCATGTGGCAGGGCACATTTTCTTATGATAAGAACAATCTGTAAATGTGATAAAAGTACACCAGTACCTTCCATCAAGTCGTTTGTATGTAACACAAAGTCCACCCCAAAATATCAAGCATTGATGTCCACTGGCTGAAAATCAGAACACGATGCCCAGCTAGCTTCAGTGAAGGAAGAAGTTCAGTCAATCACTAATATCATTAACAAGAAAACTCTCCTCAGTTTTGAGCAAAGAGTATCATATGACAACTCTCTCCAAATTTTGACTCATACAAATTGGTTAGTGAAGTTATTAAAGTAGGCATTATACCTGAGATTTTGAAGAAAGCAATGCATATTTGTCTGGAAGCAATCCCTTCTTATCAGAGACACCAATATACAGCAAAAGCTGCAGAGAGAGAGAGAGCATACACAATATCAACATACAATATGTAATCTGCTACACAAGCACAGGCACCGAACACTGTACACCCCAGATAATCAAATCTTTCCAAAACATTGATAGTAATGCATCAAAATTTGAAAGACAAATTCATTTTCAAGAAGTTGAGAAAATACCCGGATGGATAAAGAAGTCACCATAATTCTTAAGTTCCCCAATTACTTTGTCTAATGCAACTTTCTGGCAAAACGAATAACATCCTCATCACTGTAAATACGCCTTACTAGTAAAGGATGATTTGCAATCTAGAGAATGAGAAAAGAAAAAAGGAACAATAAGCAAACATATATACAATCTGAACACAAAACTGGGATATCAAAAACATGAAAGTCGAGACAGACGCACCTTACGAAATTGAACAAAATAGTTGGAGATCTGCCGAGAAGAACCTTAAGAATACTGTTCGAGTTAACCTCTGAAGTTTTTGCAATACGAGCTTGTGAAGCTGCCCGATACTCTTGAATGGCTTCTTTATAGGCGTCGTCTTGTTCCTTGTCCATTATAACATACTCAACCTGCAGTACATTTCTCAGCTTTTTTTTCTAAAACATAAAAGAATAATCAAAAGAGAATGAAAAACACAAGAACATGAAAAATCAAGAACCTAATCCTAAAATGACTAGGCATAAAGTCATAACATACTCGCTGTATTTTAGGAACAAGTTGTTGCATAACATCAGATTTTAAGCGTCTCGAAATAAAGGGTCCCACTGGAATCGTCAGCCCAAGGGTAAAATCCACGATCTTCTTCATGGAAGATGTATTATCTTCCACAGAAGTGTACTGTTTCCCATTAGAATCGCCATCTAATAAAGAACTTTTCCCAACCCTATTCTCTGCCAAAGTTGGACAATCTACAGATGGGAGGTGTAGAGTTGAAAAAGGCCTGCCCAGGAGGTCATTATTCCTCGATCGGTACGTTTTCACGAGGATGTAGAGAAGTTAGATTGGTTGGTATAGGTGGGAAACGATCCTTGTCAACTTAAGGCTCAAGGCCTTGTTTCTAGCGCTGCATGAGGTCAAAGGCAGCCCAACCACCAGACTTAGCTTCATCCCTTGACATCCGCCTAATGAACATATATAGAATATAAAACTGACCAAAAACAAAAATAAAGAATATAAGCAACAGTCATCACAAACCAAGTAACAGCATGATGTACAGGTTACTTTGCTAGTAGACAAGTCCGTAACTTGCACCAAACATACAAAGAAACTGGAGATATTAGATCCAAAACTAGCATGAAAGTGATTATAGAGCTCGAAATTTAACAACCTCAAATTCATGTTCATCTCACTATACAATCAAAATTCTGGAATACGAAGTATAAAACAAGTACTTGTATGAAAAAACCGCAAATGGTTGTCTAGAATTCCAAAAGTCCTATATAGAAAATAAGAATTTCAAGCGCGAAAGAAAACTAAAAAATAAGTTAACGGAGAGATGAAACCCATGAATTGGAACATCCAAAAAGTACCTTCCTTTATATATAAATATGAAATCCGAGAACTAGGTGTTATCTGGGAAAAGCACACCAGGCGTTAATCGATCTGACGGCTGATACTTTGAAAGGATTGCAGGAGATACGACGACTTTCTTGGCTGATTCCCGCGGCCCAATTTCGCATCTCATATCCATAACCTAACTGAGATTTGCAGAAATACAATCCCACAAGGATAGAGAGATTCTTCAAGCTGAAAATGCTTTTTTAGTCATCTTCTCTCAAAGCCATCGAAGAGAGAGAGATAGCCAAGGGGGTGGAAGCAGCGGAAGAATTACGAGAGGCACAAAGGAAGTTTCTTTTCAGATTTTAGTTTCCCCCGGCCGTTCGACTACAAAATCAATAGAAATCCAAGTAACTTATCAAGAAACATATGAAATTATTAATTGATTTCAATTCTTAGTTGTTTCTAGTTTCACCAATTGGACCGCCACAATTTTAAGAACTTGCGAGATCTAGGTATACATTCTGACGTAATATGAAATTACAGGAAATTTGTGCTTGGTTTTGGCAAAATCTGCCAACCACTTTACCATATGACTAAGAAGGATGGGTTATTGTGGACCACAGCAGCTGAAGTAGCTTTCCATAAGCTCAAGGATACTATGACCTCTCCACAGGTCCTTGCTTTGCCTAATTTTACCCTATCATTTGAGTTGGAATGTGATGCCTCTGATAATGGCATTGGTGCAATTCTACAGCAACAAGGGAGACCAATTGCATTTACTAGTCGAGCCTTGGGGCCTAAGAATCAATCTCTCTCCACCTATAAGCGAGAACTCATTGCAATTGTACATGCTGTCAAGAAATGGCAATCATATCTTCAGGGTAGGCATTTTATAATCAAGACTGATCACTACAGCTTGAAATATTTTCTAAACCAAAGGGCTCATACAACATTCCAACAGAAATGGGTTTCTAAATTGATGGGATTCGATTATGAAATTCAATTTAAGAAGGGTGCTGATAACACAGTTGATGATGCCTTCTCTAGAAGACAAGTCACAGATCATGACACTCAGTGTTCTAATGGGGTAAATCATTCATCCATGAGTTGTCAAGCTATCTCTTACCCCTATTTTGGGTGGTTGGATCAATTGAGAAGATACAATGAAGAAGATGCTTGGATCAAGCAGAAAAGGGCAGAGGTTACAAACTTTGGGAGTGGAATAGTCAGTGGTTCTAAGTTAGCCCATTATCATATTGATAATGGCTTACTCAAGTACAAGTCCAGGATAGTAATCAGCCCCAACTCCACTTAGAAGCTTAAGTTGTTGGCTGAGCATCATTCAACACTTGCAGTAGGGCACCAAGGTGTATTGAAGACCTATCATAGGCTAAAAAGGGGTTTTTATTGGCCAGGTATGAAGGGAGACATAAAGACCTATATCTCAGAGTGTAATACTTGCCAACAAAACAAGTATGAAACTCTATCTCCTCCTGGTTTACTTCAAACTTTGCCAATTCCTCAAAAAATTTGGACTGATATAAGCATGGATTTCATTGTGGGATTACCATCTTGCAAAGGCAAAACTATCATTTTTGTGGTAGTAGATAGGCTTACTAAGTATGCTCACTTCTTAGCTTTAGCTCATCCCTATATTGCCATGACTGTTGCTCAGTTGTTTGTTGATAACATATTCAAGATGCATGGAATGCCATCTACAATTGTGAGTGACAATGCCATCTACAATTGTGAGTGACAGAGATCCGTTGTTCCTAAGCTTTTTTTGGAAGGAGTTTTTTAAGTTGCAAGGATCACAACTTTGCATGAGCTCGGGGTACCATCCTCAGAGTGATGGATAAACTGAGGTGGTCAATAGGTGTGTTGAAACATATCTGAGGTGCTTTGTGGGAAACAAACCTAAGAATTGGGTTAAATGGTTACCATGGGCAGAGTGGAACTATAATACTTCCTATCATACTTCTTCAAAATTTACTCCATTGGAATTGGTATATGGGTAACCTCATCCTCATGTTACTTATTATGAGTTAGGTACTGCAAAAATGGACTTTGTGGAACAAGAATTGATTGAGAGGGATAAGTTGCTTGCCATACTCAGGTCTAACTTAGCAATGGCTCATAATTGAATGGCAATTCAGGCAAACAAGAAAATGACTGAGTGAGAGTTTTCTGTTAGTGACTTAGTCTATCTCAAGTTGCTGCCATATCAGTTGCAAACATTGGCTTCACATGCTTATCACAAGCTACACCCTTGATACTACGGTCCTTATGAGGTAGTGGAGAGAATAGGACATGTTGCTTACAAGCTCAAATTACCTGAGGGAACAAAAATACATCATGTTTTTCATGTTAGCTGCTTCAAAAAGCACATGGGAAATTTGGATCTACCCGTAACAGCTCTGCCAACACTGACAGATGAAGCTTAGATGCAGGATACTCATCCATCAGATGCTCTTTTAGCAATAATTGCCAGGAGAATTTACAAGAAAGAAGACAAGGCAGGTGTTCAATTGCTAGTATAGTGGATTGGACAAGAAGAGAGCACAGCTACTTGGGAGGATTATGATGATTTTCATGCTAGGTTCCCAACATTTCAACTCTGAAACCTTGTGGACAAGGTTGATTTTAAGGAGGGAGTGATGTTAAGAAATGCATTTTATTCCTTTTGTTTGTAATTTCAGTTTATTAAATATAAGGGTTTGTCCTTTAGTGAGTTAGTTATGTAATGGAATGGTGAGTTGGCATTTTTTAGTGGAAATGCCACTTAAATGGAGCAATGGCCTCATTGCTCCCCAGACGAATATTTTGAGTTTTATTAATTAAAAATTCACACGAGCTTCTTGCTTGTCTTCTACCTTTTCCATTCCATATCTCCATTGATACACTGTTCAAGTTGAGCAGGTTCTTAAGAAAAGTGAAAATTAATTGAAGTGGGAACTGGAGATTGAGGAGGGAGAAGGTGGTCGTCGTAGTGGAAATTGGAGAATTAATTGAATTTAGGGTTGGGTGGGTGGAGATGAGAGAAAGGAGGGGGGTCGAGACTCGGGGAAGACGTAGGAGACGGCATAGAAAAAAATTAAAAAAAAATATTTATTTTTAGGGTAAATATCAGTTTACTATCCTCAAGTTTCGTAGTTTTCAACATTTGGTACATAAAGTTTTTTTCGTCCTAGAGTCATACCTAAAGTATTAATTTTGGGACAGTCTCATACATCCGTTAGTCAAACGGTTAACTTTGCCGTTAACTGATGAGGTGGCGCCTATGTGAACAATGATTGGACGCCACGTGTCATTAAGGTATCCACGTAGAAATTCAAAATTCAAAAAAATAATTATTTAAAAAAAAAGTTAAAAGTTAAAAAAAAAAAAAAAAAAGCAAAAGCAAAACCCAGATCGTCTTCCCCAAATCCCCCATCACCCGAAACCACTTCCCTCCCCATTGCACCTCCATCCCACCTTTTCCCATCCCCCATCATCCCAGGACTCCTCCAAATTCGCCCGAGAGGTCACAAAAGCCATCATTCATTGCACTTCGATCTCGGACATAGAGAGAAAACGCGGAGAGCTTTCATACCTGCGCAGACGCCATGGCTGGCTCGTGGAGAGCTCGTTGATCTCTCGTCATGCTTGGGATCGTCACATTCGGTGAGTGTTTCGATTTCTGAGTGCTCGATCTGGTTTTGTATTTTGTTTGATATTTTGTGGATATTTGTTTTTAATCGGGAAAATGCGGTGGATCTAATTGTGATTTGATGTTTTTGAGCTCGGAAACGATGAGATTTATGGATCCAGCTTGAATTTTTTTGTGGATTTTTTTATAATGGATGGTGATTTTTTGTGTTCGTCTGAACTAATGGCCGCTTTTCTCATGCTCGGCGTTCTAATTCTCCTCGGCATTTCGTCGAACATGTGGAGCACCGTCATCTACGCCGACGTCTCCCCTGGAATTTACTCGATCGAGGTCGTCAATGAGTTCCCTCACGATCCCGACGCCTTCACCCAGGTAATCGTCGATGCTTAATTTTTTTATTTTGGATTTGGAAATTGGTTTTCAATTTTTTGGAATTTTAGGGTTTTGTTGGATTGCTTGTTCTTCAGGGGCTACTTGATGCTGGAAATGATAGCTTGTTCGAGTCGACTGGGCTTTACGGGAAGGTGAGTTTGCGCCTTGTTGGTTGCTGGTGTTAAATTTGACATGCATTTTGTTTATGTGATTCGGATTCATCTTTTCTTTCAATTGTTTCAGTCATCAGTGCGCAAGGTTGCGATTCGAATTGAGATATGTAGGTGATTAGAATGATATAGGTGGCTATGTAAATGTATCATTTGTGTATGTGTTTGCTTGAAATTTATTTACTTGATTTCGTTTTGGGATTTAGGGAAGACATTCTAGGATTTGGCGATGGCGGGATTTTTGGGAGGGATGATAGGGGATGGGAGAAGGTGGGATGGAGGTGCAATGGGGACGGAAGTGGTTGCGGGTGAGGGGGTGGGAGGGTGGGCACGCGATCCCGTAATGACACATGACGTCTAGTCATTGTCCACATATGCGTCACATGATCAGTTAACGGTAAAGTTAATAGTTCGACTAACGAATGTATGAGATTGTCCCAAAATTAACATTTTAGGTATGACTCTGGGATGAAAAAAACTTTATGTACCAAATGTTGAAAACTACGAAACTTGAGGATAGTAAACTGATATTTACCCTTATTTTTAATATACATGGGGCCTGTTATTGACACATGGCGGCCAATCATTGTCCATGTAAGTGTCACGTGACCAATTAACGACTGATTTAACAACAATCTTAACAGATGTATATATGAAAATGTCTCATAATTATGACTTTAGGTACTAGACTGGGACGAAAAAAACTTCATGTATCAAATGTTGAAAACCAAGAAATTTCAGGATAGTAAACTAAGATTAACCTTATCTTTTAACTATACTGCTTTTTCACCAAACTACCACATGGTATGCATAAGATTTCATTATTATTTTAATTTAGATCTGTGGATACAAATTTCGTACACAATTGATTTGACGAAATTTCAGCTACAAGAAAACAAATGACGGTAGCCTAATTGACGAACACCTTAAAAGGGGAAAGGTGTCCACCAAAGGTCCTCTGATGCCTAAGTCAGAAAAGCAGTAGAGAGAAAAGAAAACTTGAGAGAGTTTTGAGTAGTAAGTGGTGTTACCATTGCCTTTTATGGAAGATTAGCAATCGTATCACTGCATATATAAACAAAAGACTAACAACTCTAGTGTTTCATTAACAATAACTACAATGTTTACTGTCATAGTTGGAAAACGAAAAAAAAAACATTCAAATCATATGCCTACAAAATGTACAAGTAAACAGAAACATACACAATAGAGGAAATTGCACGGATATATCTTTCCTGCATGATTCGAAATCTGGGTTAACTACCAAGATCCCACAACCTTATTGTTGGCATTCCCTTTTCTTACTTTCTTCATCCAACCTGTACACAACAGAGATTGCCTCAAGTAAGATAATTGTGCCAACGCAAATGCCTTAAGTAAGATAATTATGCATGTCGTGTGCATGTAGTGTGCATTTCATGTACATTTCTTACATATTGTACTAAGACATGTAATTCACAAACTTGTTCAAACAAACACTGGTTCGAGATCGAATACACAAACATTGGCAAGTTCATAACAAAATTAACAAATGTTAAGCATGAATTAAAATGCAAAACTCTAGATTGCAACCCAAAAATTAAAACCCAAAAATCTAAAATAAAAAAAAACCTATAAACAAATAAAGATTTCTAGAACAAATTTCGAGCCATCTCTTCCTCATCCCTTTTTTGTTTGACTTCCCATCTCTGCAAATCCAAAAGACTTAATTGAACAAACAAGTAATTAGTTTTAGACATGGAGACAATGACTGAGTTAGAGAGAGAAAGAGATGAGAAAGAGAGACGTACCTGATGGCAGTGGAAATATGGATGTTGAAGCTTCACTGGCCAGAAAGAAAGGAACTTTCCGGTAAAACGCAAAATTTGATACAAAAATCATATCTTTGAGGATGGAGCATTGATGCAAACGAGAAACCCTCATTTCGAAGCTTCACTCTCGAGTCTCAACTTCCCTCTATTCGAAATCGAAGCTCTAAGATCTGAGCTCAGCCTAGAAACCCAGAGCTCATAGAGTTCTCTCGACATCCTCTTTTCCAAATGACAAAAATTATGAAATGAGCTGAGAGTTTTTAGTATTTATATGTGGGCATTTTAGTAATTTTAGTTTTGTGCATGGCCGGTTTGTCCTATTTCGTCCCAAGATTAAGAAATTGTCACATTTTGGGGTATTTTCCAAAAAAAAAATTGCCCTTAGATTTGTTAAATTTCGATATTTGTGTCTTAAATCAATTAAATCAAATTAATCTAACAGTAATCAATGGGGGGTGAGCATCACCACCACCTTTTAGTGGTGTGAGCAAAGTTGTACTATAATTTTCTTTTTGATATATGGAAGACTAAATGGTCTTCAAATGGAATGAAAATTAGATGACATTAAACAGTGACCAAAAGAATAAACAAATGACATGTATTCGATTAAATGATGTCATATAAAGAGGGGGGGGGGGCTTTTAAAGATTATATCTTCAGACTTTTAAGGAATTTAATTTATTGTGATATTCCTAATTATGGATTTATTAGCAAAAGTTATCTTTTATAATGAAAGAAATTAAACTACATATATTTATAAAAAAAATTAAGTAGCTCAAAAAGGCCCAAAATGGTTACCTCACACATGCCCCATATGAAAGACACCCCTAGCATCGTTGGAAAAAAAAAATTAAAATTAATAAATATGAGCATATAGGGAGTTGAACCCGTGCATAATTAAATGGGAGTACCAACACTCGACAACTCCGCTAAGGCAACATTGTTAATTTTGTTCACACTTTGTAGTACCTTATAAAGGTTATTAAAAATTGTTTTGTGGTGTTTGTGGTGGTGGGGGGGGGGGGGGGGGCTTGTGCGGTCGCACACCTCGCACCCCTTCAGAGCGGCCCTGTCTCTAGTCTTTGAATTATGTCATTTGTTTCACTAGTACTCCATTTCGTTAACTCTATCAACTTTCTGTTAAGTTAAAGGATAAAAGAAGAATTTCATCCAAAAAAAAAAAAAGAACTTTTTAAAGAGAAAGACTCGGCTCCTCAAAGATTGAAAAGGAACTCCTCTTTAAAATACCTTGTCACCTATTTACAAAACTTTGTGCTTATGATTGGAACTCTTTAAAGATTGACTAAATCATCTTAGTTTTAATTAATATTTTGCATATATGATCTTTACATAGTGATTTATAATATGAACGATTCCAGTCACAAACACAAAATTCTGTGGATAAACCATGAAGTATTTTGAGGAGGAACTCCTCATTAACCTTAAGGAGCCTAGCTCTTCTCTTTTCAAATAAATTAGATTGTTTTCTGTATGAAAAGATCACTATACCCTTCAATTTGACGAAAATAAAATAGATTTGATGGAAGAACCATTCATGCAACACAGAGTTAAGTTGGAGAATGAGAGAAACTAATATGAAAGTTCATGGACGAAATTAAACATGGGATATAGTTCAAGGACCTTCGCTACCAAGCACCCTGCTTTTTATCATACAGGGATACACATAAGTTCTTATAGAGTTAAACTGTCCCTCAAAGACGTAGGACTTAACAAATTTTCTCTCAATATTTTTGTACATGGCTGTCGCACTTGGTGCGATGGCAAGTGCTTTCGCCCATGAGCGGTAGGTCTCGGGTTCGAGACTTGGGAGCAGCCTCTCCATAAATGGGGGTAAGGCTAGCCGACATTCACCTCTCCCAGTCCCTGCGTAAAGCGGGAGCTTTGTGTTGTGCACTGGGTACGACCTTTATTTTTGTACATGGCTATTATTCAGAAAGATTCTTTTTTTACATAGGCACTCTCTGAAGTTTACTTGAGTATGATACATGCTCTCATGGTTAAGAGTACTAGTCTTCAAAATTCTTATGGGAATGGCTCTTTCCTTTTGTCATGCATAGAAGGACATAAGCTTCTTTCTCACACTCTAATCTGTATGTTCTGTCCACCTGTATATAATACATGTAGAATAATTAATAAGTATGGCTTGTTATATAGAAATTAGATTCGAATCGAAGTAAGTAAACTCGTGGCAATACAAAGCATACCTGAAGATGTAAATTATAGAAAACCCTGCCTCCATAGGACTCAAAGAAAGAAGCATTTTCTAGTTCAAGCCCCTCTTCCTCCAGATGTTGTAAGATCTCAGATAATAGATTGTTGTGGGTCTTAAAGGTGGATATTTGAATTGCTACTTCTCTATCGTTAAGACGGTAGGTTGAAACTGCAGATTGTGAACTCCGAGCTGTGGTTTTTATTTTTTTCTCCTCATGCATTGCATCTTCTTGCTTAGAAGCTCTTGATAAGAGTTCTTCCCTCTTTCGGTTCAGTCCCTTCACTTGCTTTTGGAGTTCCGGTATGTATTTCAGTGCACGCGAAATTGTATTCGGAATGCTTAGTTTTTTCTGTAATGGATCAGATGAAGTTTTCAAAACTGTGAGTACATAGGATATCCATAATTTGTGTCGATTATTGAACTTTATTGCATATAAAAGAATATTGAACTTTACTAAAACGTTAAACTTTCTCTCTACTTGTCCAGACAGTTACACATTGTCACAAATGTTGATAACAATATATCAATTCGGACTATTATATGGTAAAAGTTAGTTTCAATCTATACATACTCCAAATTAATAGTATGACAAATAAATAACATGTTAAGTCTCTTCAGATGTAACATTACCAAACTAATATTTGAAATTATTAAGAGAATTCATTTTGGTACATACCGTTTGATCTGCAGGAAGGAGTGAACGCAATGAGGCATACAAGTTACTGATCTTGCGACGATCACGCTCACTAGCATTGTGGTTGAGTTTCTTTGCCATCGGACAAACGCTGGAGTAGTCACCGGTGACAGTTGTGGATGGTGTGTAACGATCAAGGTCAACTTGTGGGTGATGACATGGAAGTAAATGAAGGAATGAGTCTGCAGTTTGATCATCATTAGTAGTAGTAATGTCGTTGCTGTAGAAGTAGTTGTGGTACTCATGGCTAATAGAATCTTGATCTAAGGGCCATCCAATGGTTGAAAACAAAGGAGGAGACGAGGCTAACATCTTGAACTGGTTAGTTTGGTGCTGCGCTGATGCCAATTAAATTTGCGTAGAAAGTGAGATGGGCATGTCAAGTATATATACAAACAGCATCATATTTTAGGATTGATCACAACATTTGTTATTAAAATGTAGGACGGTTAGTGTTCTTAATTGGTTAATTAAAGAGTAATACTGATTTGTCTTTAAAGAAAGAAATATGCATATTACAATTAGATGACTGAGAAAATGACTTGTCAACTTCCACTGCGTGTGTGGGCATGTGTTTTCTGTTTGATGAGAGATCCATGTGGCTTAATTAAACATGCATGATTAATTAGGTAAAGAATCTACCATGCCAAAATATTTGCACCACGGCGTGTGTTCGAATCCCGTCGATTTCCTAATCTATCACCTAATCTAACAAATCTATCGTTTAAGGAAACGAAAATACCAAACCATGGTGAGAATGTTAATTAGGGTTTTGGAAAAGTAATTAACATTTAAATGTTTATGAGTAATGTTATTCATACTATATTTTTGTA